TTGTCTGGAATTAGCACTTTTGTCGTGGGAGCCTAAAGGGCTGAAAGACTAGCTGGGGCCAGGGAGGGGTGGGCGTATTCTATCCAAGGTTGCCAGATTGCCAGTGAAAGATTTATTGGTGGCCGAGAGGATGCTGGTGAGCTTCTCGTTCAGACAGAAAAAAAAGCTCATGTTTCTTTCATTTGCTTGTATTGGTATGACACAAAAAAAGTGGACAAAAAAAAAAGCCAAATCTGACACATTCCACGCAAAACTCCACCTTCTCCAAATTGCAAAAAATAATTGCATTCCAAGTTTATGTGGAAACGCATGGACAATCTCGAGGTTATAAGTCCATCTCCAGGGATCTTAACGTTCCTGTGTCCACTGTGAGCAACATTGTCAAGAAGTTTACAGTCCGTCCTACTGTAGCTAATCTCCCTGATCAAAGACTACAATGAAGGATTGTTCGAATGGTGGATAAAGACCCTCCATCAACTTCCAGACAAATTCAAGTTGACCTTCAGGCACAGGGTACAGCTGTGTCGGCTTGCACTATACATCGCCATCTGAATGAAAAGGGACGCTATGGTAGGAGACCCAGGAGGACCCCACTGCTGACGCAGAAACTTAACAAAGCCAGTTTAGAGTTTGCCAAAACTTACCTGAGGAAGTCCAAATCCTTTTGGGAGAATCTGCTATGGACAGACGAAACAATGACAGCTTTTTGGTAAAACCCATCATTCTGTTTTCAGAAAAAGAAAACACAGTCCCTACAGTCAAAGTTTTGGGGTTGCTTTGCTGCTTCGGGTACTGGATGTCTTGCCTGTGTGCTTGGCATAATGAAATCTAAAGACTACCAAAGAATTCTGGGGTGCAATGTAGGGCCCAGTGTCAGAAATGTGGGTCTCCATCAGAGGTCATGGGTCTTACAGCAGGAAAATGACCCAAAGCACACGTCAAAAAGCACCCAGAAAAGGTTTCAGACAAAGCGCTGGAGAGTATTGGACTGGCCAGCAAAGAGTCCAGATCTGAATCCCATAGAGCATCTGTGGAGAGATCTCTAAACATCAGTTCGGAAAAGGAACCCTTCCAATCTGGGAGACCTGGAGCAGTTGGCGAAAGAAGAGTGGTCCAAAATTCCTGTAGAGAGCTGTAAGAAACTCAGTGATGGTTACAGGAAGCGATTGATTTCAATTAATTTTTTTTCCAAGGGCTGTGCTACCGAATATTAATTGAGGGTGCCAATAATTCTGTCCAGTCCATTTTTGTGTGGAATGTGTCAGGTTTGGCTTTTTCTTCTCAATTTGTTTGTGTCATACCAATACAAACAAAAGAAATAAACATGAGAATGCCTAAACATTTGTAATTGCAACAACTTTCTGCGCGAAGTGGTGCATTATCTGACACACTTGTTGGTGGCATACTTACTCATTTACTATAAATTAATTAAGATCAGTTAAGTTTCCATGCTCACAACTGCTTGTCAGTGTCTCAGAACCTTCTTTAATGCTCAGTGGAGATAACTCATGGGTTTGATATGATCAGCAAGGAAAGGATACTGCCTCATTTACTCATGAAAGTGCATTTACACAGCTGAGCAATAAGGGAAGGATAATGACCTATGAACTCATGGAAGTACCTAAACACGACAGGCCTTTAAAGGCAAGTATAACACACTTTTTTGTGTGTGTGTATAATCATTTCCAGTATCTCTCATGGACATCACCTTGTTCCAAACCTGCAGCCCAGCCATAACAGAAGCCTGGTAACATTGGGAGATTTTAATTTTCATTATGTGAAATGTATAAGGCGTGTGAGAAGGGACCAGAAACTATAGTAGAGATATTTGGCTGTTTAAGTTTCCAAGAGATAGAGAAGCCAGGCGATGACCACCAGACTCCGCAGCTGACTTAGGTATCACTTTGAGTGCACCTATCCCTTAAATCAGTGGTTCTCAAGCTGTGTACCTTCAGGACCCACATTTGTCCTTGGTCATTAAGTCATGACCCAGGTCGCGCTGTAATGGAATGCACGGGATTAGGCTACCCCGCATTCCAGTGTGGGTATACGCACTGTGGGAGGTGCGTTTGGGGTACCATTCAAATGAATGGCAACGCAACACACCTCCCACACCAGAATGCAGAGTAGGTCCGATTGCATTGTGCAGTGTTTTAATGGCACGGTAGTATGTGCTTAATGCACTGTACTAGTGTGAACGGGCCCTCTAAAACACTGACACAATCCTACAGACACCCAGCCTCCCTACCTTACTGGAGTGGATCCTCAGCCTGGGATCCAGTGTGGGTTGCTGTGCTGTGACAGAGCTCCATCCATATGTGCATTGCTTGTACAGCTCCCTTGCGTGCCCTGTAGAGGCGTCACCATGGCTCCTCTATAGGACCCGTGAGGGAACTGTAAGCAATGTACTTATAGAGCTCCCTCACGGCCATAGCCCCATCCCACCTCAAGCTGACACTCATCATATTTTGAATGGCTGCTTGGTGCGAGAGCGGACAATGCCGTGCTAGGGGGAGGCAGAGGGGCCTCTCACCTAGATAAGTGGATGGCATGTGGTTGCCACTCACCAGTTGAGAACCAAATCAACCCTTTTTTTTTTTTACCAACAGATAGCTTTATTAAAATGTAGCCCCTATCCGAGCGCTCTTAAAATGCCCAAGATGAGGATACACCCCAAGAGAGCAGAAGTGTGTTAACATACAACTCTACAGCTGTGTGTTTATAAAAAAAATAAATACAAATAAGATGTTAAAACTGACATATAGTAACTTAACTTGTCCTCATTATTATCTTTCTCCCTTCACGGGATTTGGGATGGGCTTTCCCAGGCAAGGACATGGATCTCTTTCTTTTCTACCCTTTCTCTCTTCTCTTTCCTCTTCTACCTCAGTCTCTTGGCTATTCTCTCTTCCCCCATGACCCCCTGTATAAAGATGTGTTCCTTGTACCATGTTGTGATGATATCACGCCTCATTGCATTTGAAATGTTGATTATTTGCTTATGCTGTTTATGGTGCCTACATGGTTAATCAGAACCACACAGATATGAACACGTGTTGTACTCGGTTATATAATCCACAATTTGTATTTCATTCAATGTTCTGTTATACACTTTGTTACGTTAATTGACTAATAAAAAAAAGTTAAACATTTTTTTAGCTCAACTTATGAGAGAAGCTGATTGGTTGCCATGGGCAATGGCTCCAGATTCTGCCTGCTCCAATTTTGATGAATGTTTTGAACCATATTTAACCCCTTCATGACTGAGGCCTTTTTTTCATTTTTTGTACCCATGTTATATTCCACATTTTAGGCCTGAAAATTACTTAAAACCCCCCAACATTATATATTTTCTGAATGCCAAGACCCTATAGAATAAAAAAAAGAATTATAGACTTCTTTACACCAATGGAAAAATGCATAGTACCTTGCAAAGTAATAAATAGCTTGCAACTGTGCTACAAAAAAAACAAAAACACCATTTTCTTTTTTGTCATATGTAATTTTATTAGGATTTCCAATAAGGTAACATGCAACAATCAAAAAAAGAAAAGAAGAGTATGGAAGTATCACAACATGCAGGAAATTGGATTAGAACAGGTATCACATAAAGCATATACTAACTCGTAGAACTACAAAACGGTAATAACTTAGAAACAATACAAGATGATCCAATGAGCAGCAACAGTCACAAGTGGAGACAGACATATAAAGAATGATAATAACTTAAGGATGTGTGCGAGTGCTGTCACTCCTTAATCCATTTCAAGAAACAAAAGTTTTTTTTTTTATAAATGTATAAAAGTTGCGTATAGGCTTCCGCCTAATTTCAAGCAATGATAATCGCAGTCTAAGAAACTCCCCAGTCCAGGGCTTTCATGAACTCCTCTTCTGTGAAAGAAAGCATCTTCGCTGCTTCAACGTGCATCTAGAAAAGGTTTGAGGGAGAAAAGAAAGAATTGTTTAGGTGCATAATGACTGTACATTGAAAATCCTACAATCACGGTCATGAAACTGGAAAAAAAAACAAGTAGATTGTAGTGAAAAAGATGCTCAAAAAGCAAACCATTATATTGGGGAAAAACGGACTAAAGATGTTTTCCCCCCAAAAAAGTGTCAGTCCCAATAGTGAAGATCTTGTTCTTGTCGGACCAGTACATTGTACTAGTTGCTTAGGGTAACTACTCTACTTCTGGCATTGTTTACTGAATGAGGACATTAGTATTCCAGAGCCCTCTACTACTTGGCACACACATTGTTACAAGGACCATGTTAGTAACAATCTGTACCACAAGAACAACTTCTCTACCACTACAACAAGGACTTTCCCCAGTGACCAGTTCTCATTCTGGTAGGTCTCAAATCAGGTCTGGAATATATATCTATATCTAGATATACTGTAGATATATATGTCTTTTTTGACATCTTGTCTACTGTACTAATACGGCTTACCCATTTATATTGCACTATATATATATATATATATATATTATACATATATAATATAATTTTCCTGCATGTTCTTGTTTGACTATATTACAGTGAGAACTCTGTATCTGAAGAAGCTGACTACCTTCCCTTCTATAGGAAAGTTGTTGTTTTTTAGCTATAATTATTTTTGTCTTGTGTAGTAAGAGGAATCCAAGTCAGAATGAAGGAGTGTCTAAACAGAACCTAATCTCCACTCGTGGACTGAGTAATCAATGGTGTTTTCTTTCTTGTCCAATGAGGAACACAGGAAGTGTTAAAACTTCAGGCTATAGGTTAAATCCTGTAAGTCTCTGCAGTCATCCAATGAGCACTCGTAGAATAAAGCCAAATACTGAAAATCCTGGAAGTCTATCCAGTCCACCAATGGATGGTGTGAACCTGCAGTTCCAGTGCATTCCAGACCTGACAAAATGAGACAAACAGTATTTTTCTGGTCTGGAACGGACTGCGCTGGTGTGAACAGAGGCCAGAAATAGCACAGGGATACATTAGGATGCATTTTGGGTCCGGAAACAATCTTGTCTGGTCTGGAGATGATCTGGATGTGGTGTGATTGGACACTAAATCAGGCAGCCATCCATTCATGCATAGTTCTGTCTATTCAAAACACATAAAAGCCACAGAGTTTTAAAAGTGTAAAAAGTGGTTTACTTATTTCAGCCAGCGGTGCAGAAGACAAAAGTTATTTTAGAGTTCAGAGACCTAATAATGTGACCTAATAATGTGAGCAATGCCCCTTGGACTAACTTGTACACAAAATACATTTTTAGAGCAAAGACCACAGAAAACACCTGAGATGGAACAGAATTTTGTACTCTCACACTCCGCTGTTACTTGTACTTAGAGCTCCCCAGGGGAACATCAAAATAGCTGCCACGTCAAAACCCAGCTAATAACGAAATCACACAGCTACTTGCATAGTGGGCCATTCTACAGATAATACTGGTGTAAGCAATGATAATGGTATTTGGTTGGGGTAAAGGTGTATTATACATACAGACTATATGCTACTCACAGGATTAAAATGTAGTTATCTTCCACAGCGGAGTACACTCATATGTATCCACATTTTATTATATGCAACATGCACTGACTTAGCCAATTCAACTAAAAAAAACCTAACATATGTGAACGACTTAAAGCTAAACTCCAGGCAGATATAAAAAGGTACAAATTATTGCAGCTCTGTATTTATTCCTGAATCAATTCATTGTTTTTTTTAATGTAAGCAGTGCAAGCACCTGAATTTTTATTTAGTATCAGCCTTTTGTAGTCTAGTGTATAGTCTTTACAGCAGAGCTCAAAGTGGGGGAAGGAAAAGCAAAACAAAGAGCCAAGCCGGCATGCTACAGTGCCAGAAGCTTGCTAATAGGAGAAAGCCAAGTGGCAGGAGAAGCAGCACACGTATGAGCTCATCTCCCTTTCAGTGTCCAGTCACATGTGGGGGTAGGGCAAGTACCTATAAATGAAAGTAAAACTGCAGCAGAGAAAGATCAGGTCCCCTCCCTTGCTGGATAGGGCTTTGCTGTGTCGCAGAGCTGTGTGAGTTTCAGGACTAAAATGAGCTTCTGAAAAGGTTCAGTAGAAGCTGCAGTAACTCAGATAGAGCCCATTTCCTGGCTGTAGGACATCCATCATCATCTAGCGCCTTCAACCCTAGGCCTTCGGTCCCTGGCCTGCAAATTTAATTAATTACATTTCATGTCTTTCAATCATGGAGGCTCAGCATTGCATGCGGACATTACCTGGGGCAGTATGTATGCACATTCTGCTTGCCTAGGAATGCCCACTCCAGACATCATCCACCCTTCATGGCATTTCATTATTTGCATAACTCCTCCCAAAAACCAGCCCACTACTTCAAGTATGTGATACAGCTAAGGAAGGAGCTTAAAGGGTGGGGGTGGGGGATGACTAAATCAGGTTGAACTGTTTCCCAAGGAGTTACCAGGACATCCACTGCTGTTCAAGAGGATACCTGGACCTGGAGACAAGCCTACTCAGTTTGTTGTTGAATCTGGAAGCTAGGAAATCCATGTCCAGTGTTCCCCACCTGCAAAAGAAGGTCTTGAAACACGTTCAGGTGAAAAGACCATTCCCGGAATCCAGATGTTGATGACCAAGGAAAAATTGCCTACCAATTTTCCATGCTTGGAACAAGCATGGTGGACAGAGCTTGAACCTGAAGTTCCACCAAAACCTGAATCTGATTGCCATCTCTTTGAGCTGTGAGACCTCTGATGGAGGCAAGGGCAAGCTTCCTCTGATGACCAAGTCCCCTGCAGCAAAAGGGTGACTAGTACTTCTTCCCATCCTGTCAGGATGTCATCCATTATGAGGATCTTCCAGACCAACAGAAGGATTTCCCTGACTCCAGGGTCATATTTGTGAACCCACCAAGCCAGAGATAGCTGGGACCTGGGCACCAGACATGGGTGATTGTCTAGAGAGTGTGCCTGTTTGTCCCATGCTACCAGAATGTTGAGTTCTGGTCTGGAGTGGAATTAAGAATACAGGACTGCCTCGAAGGAGGCAACCATTAAGCCCAGAACTCTCATGCAAAAGCAGAGGGTTGGACAGCTCCTAGACTACATAAGCCAGACCTAAGACTGGAGGATCAGGAATGTGTCCTGTGGGAGATAGACCCTGGACTAAGCAATATCTATATGGAAATTTAGATGCTCCAAATGATGAGTCAGTTCCAACATTGAATTCTGAAAGTTTCAGGACCCAACCAAGCCTTTGTAGTCTGCACAGTTCCATGGACATTGGCAGACAAGTTCTGAGCCTACTGTTTCCTCAGAAGAAGGTCATCTAGGTATCTCACTATAGGGATGCCCTGAGAACGAAGCACAGGGGCTAGCACCTTGGTGAAGACTCAGGGTGCCATGATGTTTAGGTCTTATATTTATAGCAAACTGTTAATCGTTCCCTGGAGTAGAATCTGTAATCTTTACTGAAACTGTCTTTCCTGGATCATCTGCTATTTGCAGGACAGATAAGAAGATGCTGTTCAGATTTACCACAAGTGATGTCACTGCTCCTAAACCTACATGCAGCCATATTCCCTGTACTTAAAAGGAGAACTATGGGGTTAGGGCTTTTCCCCATAGATCTCCGAAGGGTATTTGGAGGACACAAACTAGCGTCCTCCCATTACCCAAAGCTTGGTATACCGCCAGCTGCAGCTCGCGGTATACTGAGACGCCGCAGCTGAAACGGATCCCGACAATTATGTCTGGATCCGCCCAGCTGCGTGAGTGACAGCTGGCTCTGCCTATCTAGGAGGCAGAGCCAGCTGTACCCGCCCCCTCCCCCGTCCGTTCCGCCAATCAGTGCTGGCGGGGAGGGGGGAATCCAGCCCCTCCCCTGTCACGGCAGAGAGCCGTGACAGGATAGAGAGGTGAGCGAACGCCGGTATATGTTCGCTCACCTCCCGATCTACTGAACAGACCTGTGACAGTCTCATTGTCACAGGTCGGCTAGAACTATGAGGTGAGTGAAAAGCACTCACCTCCTAATTCTCCTTTAAGGCTCTTTTCAGTTTTCCCCATAAACAATTTAAAGCCAAACACTTACTACTTGTCTTATCCTCAATGAGTAATGATGGTTTGTAGACAACCGCAGTCAGTGGGTACTGTGAACCATTTCTGTCCTGTATCTGACACTTTAGGGGGCAAATGGTGAATAGAGCTTGGAGGAAGAAAAGTAATGCTAGTGCCACTAAAAATTAAATCAGGACCCTGATCTATATGAGAGCAATCTCTATTTAATAGTTTGGAGGTTACTGTGGATTAACTATCAAGCTGGAATAAGTCAGTCATAATTCCCACTGATTATACAATATTTGGCTGAGTCACAGAGTGTTCTTACAGCTGACATTTTGCCAGTGCTGGGAATTAAAAGGACATAAAATAATAGGGAACTTGTAAATCTGAACTGGAAGCCTGTTTCAGTAACTATAAAATGTATGTAAAAAAAACAACAAGATTTGTTAGCAAATCATCGAGTAACTTAGAAAAACACCGTCACTGCAGTATCAGTAATCTCCTATAGTTTTAATAGCAAAGACATTGCCTGAACATTCATTTTTATATAGAAAACTATGGCCTCAGGATTCCTCTATAATCCTTAGGCCCTGTTCACAAATTTACGCTTTGTCGCGCGTTCAACGCTCTATGAACGCTCTACAAAAACGTACAAACTTGAAAATCCCATTGTTTTCTATGGGTATGGTTCACACCTTTCCGTATTTCAGCCCGTCTGAACGCGCTACAAAAACGGCCTACGCCCAAAGAAGTACATGTACTTGCTTCGACATTCCCTTGCCTATACAGGCGTCTTCTTAAAATGCAGGTTCAATGGCTAAACAAGTAAAAGGTACACTGGAGAAAATTCTGTATTGAAACCATCTCAGCTTACAGCATATCTGCTCCATTTCAGTTTTATATTGGCAGTTACCTTTTTAGCCAACATCTTCGAGCTGCCAGTCACCTTTTCTTGTAAGTGGTCCTGAATCTGGGTCTGCAAAAAGGTAGTCCAGTGTGTTCACTGGTTCAAGCACCCTTGCATAGCACAAGAAATAAAAAAAATCCAAGTATTTCAGTCCCACTAAGAAGACCTATAATGACTCTGGCTCTGAATCTGGATTCCCACAGGCAACCTTTGGGCAACTAAAGTGTTGGCTAGGAGCACATAGGTAATTTTTAGCAGCACAATCATGCCACTAGAATAGATAGCTCTAAATCACTACACAAGGAGAACAAGTAGCTCCTTATAAAAGGAAGACATACATGTAGCAGGTAGTAGCGATTATTAGCCAATACTCACACATTTCACCAAATGTGTGTGAGTAATCTCTACTAAATGCTACAACATGCTTACTTATGTGCCTAACTTCACAGAGAGCCGGTTGTTGTAAATGTGTAGCAATTGACTGCTACTGCTAGCGATGAATCATTAGCAATTTTAGTAGCATGATAAAAACTGCATGAACTGCTTTAAACCATTTTTTGTGCTCCAAGTCCAACTGCCAATATAAACAAGTTCACCTTTTCAATAAGTGGCTAAGCAGTGGCCAATATTTAAGGCAACTCTGCTTAAGGATGCGTGTGACAGACCTCCTGCACTAAGCTGAGAACTAACACTGCTCTCTGTGCATCCAACTTCTGTTATGTTCACATGATGGGATGCAGTGAGGGTCTGTCAGGCAACAAACCGCCTCAGGCCTCGGTAGAGGCATTGAGATCTTTTTCAGCCAACTGGGGGACTGGCAGCCACACAGCGCTCAGCTTAAAAAAAGCTTTCTGAGATACAAAAATATCGGCCTTCCTTTCCCCCTGCTCTCATGGACCAAGCCGGCTCCGAACTCTCCCTGGCAGACATGGACTCTCCAGATCGTGGCCATGCATCCCTGGCAGACATGGACTCTCTAGATCGTGGCCATGCATCTTTTAAAATAAAATGTTACACTTCTCTTCTTATCTCGGATGTGGAAAAAATAGGGATCAGTGTCCTAAGTCTGCTCCTTTGTTTTCGTCTTTTATGTGTTTAGTTTCCAGTTTCAAAGACGTCTTACACTTCCAAACCTTCGGACCCCCTAGACGTCCTTGCCAATTAAAAAGTACACTTTAGCATGAAGGTCTGCTCCTGCCTTTTCTATATCTGGTGCAGGGACACAACAGAATTTGCGCAGACATGGGAAGCGCTGTTCTTTGCGTTTCGGCTTCCCATGTTGCAGCAGTGTCGAACAAACCTTTTTTGCGCAGTTCAAGTTCTGTTGGATCTGAGTGTTATTATTCCCTTTCCTTTGGCAGAACATTTTCAAGGTTATTACTCAAAACTGTTTACAGTTCCCAAAACCCAACAGAAGACTTTGTCTGATTCTGAATTTGAAAGCACTCAATGCATTTGTACATATTCAGAGATTCCGGATGGAATCCATTCAGTCAGTTGTCGCCTCTCTTAGACAAGGAGATTTTCTGGTTTCCATAGACATAAAGGATGTGTATCTACACATTCCTGTATTTTCAACTCATCAGCGTTTCCTTTGTTTTGCGGTAGGAGACCTTAATGATCAATTTGAGTCTCTTCCCTTTGGGGTGGCTTCCGTTTCAAGAGTTTTAACAAAAAGTTCTTGTTTCTGGGATTTTCATTTTTTTTGTCGCCAGTCCACCACATTATCGGTTGTTCCTCTCTGAGAACCTGCATAAGAATACTGGGATTGAAGGTGCCAACTTTGAAGCGGTACCTTTTGTTCTCTTCCATTCTACAACTATACAGAGGAACACTCTTGCAGCATGGGACAAGTCTCCTCTTTCGCCAAACAAGATGTTCAGATTGAGTGCCCCAGCCAGGATATTTCTGTTGTGGTGGTTGACATCCTCTGCACCGACAATGGGAAAGTTGTTTCTTTCCATAAGTTGGGAGATTGTCACAATGGATGATATTCTTGTAGGATGAGGAGGACTCTGGGATCATCTGTCTGTGCAGGGTTGTTGGTCTCAGGAGGAATCCAAGCTTCTGATCTATGTCCTGGATTTCAGGGCAATTCCTCTGGTGTTGTGTCACTTGGCCCCATTGTCTGTGTGGGTGTCCGATTCAGATTCAGTCAGATAATGCTAAGGCGATGGCATACATCAATCACCAGGGCACCCCACCTATCTGCCGAGGAAAGTGCCATCCTACTCTCTTACATCTTATGTTGCCATGCGAAAAGCTATGACACTGGCCATTTGAGGGCTTGAAAGATCAGTTGAGAGTTGATATTAGGCACACTGCCAACAGTGACAGTTATCATCAGAAACATGCCTTGAATAAAGCATACACTGTAGACAGAATGTAAATTCTGCAGAAACAAATATTGGTATATTTGATAAAAGGTTTAATAATATTTACTGAAATTTGTTTGAGCTTTTTTTGTGGGGAAAATCAGTAGGTTTAGACTCCTTAAGTAGACTACTGTGAGAACACATTAGATGTCTATGGAGCAAATTATTAAACATCCTAGCAGCATTTTTGTAGTGTTAAAGCACATTTAGAGAGCAAAACTGTGTTACCAGGAAGAATTCTGGGGATTAGCATATGCAAAATCAAAATGCACATGTAACTGTAATCCACATTTGTTTTTAAGTGAAATGGCCCCAACCCATTTCCTGTACCAAACATCCTTTTATACTTTGCTTGGGGGGGGGCAGTTCTTCCAGGCCATATCTGAAAAGCTTCAGCGAATCCTTGACAAACCCTTGCCAATCACTATACCTTAAGAGAATGTTGAACTTTGGGCATTGAATATGCTTTAAGATTAATTCCAGTAAGATATCTGTTATATGCATCTCTAAAGCTGGAGTTTTGTAACAAAGGATTTGAAATTACAGAAATCTTTATTTTACAGCAAAAAGAACAGCCTATTTGTGGAGAGTAGAAAGTAGAGTACAGTAGAGTCAGTTTTCTACTTCTGTATCTATACTGGAAAAATTCCCCTAACCATAGCAAGAAGTAAAGAGGAAGTTCCTAATAGGGGCAAAGCCGTATAAACCTGACAGTGGTTCTAACTCTTCCATACTCTATCCCAATGTATTAACTAGCCTTGACCAGGATACACAGACACAAAAAACAGACCCTCCCTCCTTCATTCTCTAACCTCTGGCTGGGAAGTGAGGACACAAACCAGTGAAGTATGAGCAGTTGATTATAACACCATATTAACCATGATATCCAATATGCTGACATCCATTTCCTGTGTGCTTTCGCATAAAGAGTAATTCTTTCTTATTACACTGGAAATATGTTAAGTGGGCAGTTTGGACGCAAGCAGCACAAAGTATAACAGAGCTCTGGTTTACAAACAGTAAATGATTTATGATGTCCTCACCTTTTGTCTTTTTAAAATGTCTATAAGTTTGAGTTGTTTCTTAAATCCAGCCATCAGCTCTGCTTTTTGCTTATCCAGCTTCTTGATTTCCAGTTTTAGTTCATCAATCTTTCTGCGCTCTTGATTAGCGGTATCCTGGGAGAATCAAGCAGCACTGCATTAGTGAAATCCCGTTTTATACCCACCTGCCACCTGGAAAGGCCATAAACAATATACAATCTGACAGCACAATGTAGGTTAACATTATGGCTCAGGTAGTAGAATATAAAACAAATACCATAATATGGTAGTATAAAAAACATTACATTACATTATAGTGATTTTCTCAGGGGGAAAAAAAGTCAATACATCCTTTCCAAAGAAACACATGTGAACAGGACATCTTTCTGTAAACTTACCACACAACTATGACATAAATGAGAGGAAACCTGTCATGAAAGAAACATGAGAAGAAAAGGGTTTTTTTTTTCTGAACTCTCCATTTTAAAGCTGCTCATGCATGCTACTGTATCTCTATTATTAGTCATGCTGAGGGTGAAAGCTTAAAGTGTATTATAACGTCTGCAGTCTAATTAGGGTAACACCTACTTTATGTTTTTTACATGTTCCCATTCATATAGCATAACTTAAACAGCACTAAAAATGACTGCTTACATTTTAAGTGTTTTTTACTTGTTTAAAAATCCTACCTAGCTCCCCCCCCCCCCCCCCCGATGTAATGTTAAGGAGGGGGTTGTGGGAAGTTATGTTTACTCTAATTAACTAATAATTGTCTGTACTGTGCTGGCAGGCAGATTTCATTATCAGCTGTAAACTAGATTTGAACACTGTCTGCCCTAACAATGGGTTAAAGACTTAGAAGCATTGTATGTTAATGAGGTGAAGCTCAGTCTGACCATCTAGTTTCACTTTCAAACTGCTTAGAGTAGCCTGGAACCTGCACAAAGGCCTTCACCAAAGAAACAGCTAAAAAGGTAAGAAAAGTAGGAACACATAGTAAACATATAGCAGTGTTTTCCCAAATTTGACTGTTCTAGTTAAAGGGTATGGTCAAAAACTAAGAATCAATATGTATTTTTATATTCAATTTCCATAGGCTCACTCCTAATAGCCATATTAAATGTAGAAGTTTGTAAACCTACTTATTGAAGATGCCCGTTGGATATACTGATACTATTTCACTCAGCCCTGTGAATGTGCGCTTCCTTATGTCACAACTTACAGAGCTTGCAGGAAACAATGCATTATGGGCTATGTAATCTTGAAAAATCAGGATTGTATTACATCAAGCAGAAGAGTATAAGATATGTAAGGTATTTATCCCCATTACAATGCTGATGTTATAACAATATTGTATATGCTGTGACTTTACAACTCCTTTAACATTTGCTTTACACAGCCTGTCTTGGGCCTGCACAGAACAAACTCAATAGCTGATCACTGAGAAGTTTGGGTCTGTTAAGTGTCAGAGCATTTGATCAGTCTGTGTAACCTGGTAATTTTTACACAGGGCCAAAACAATTGCTTGGAACTAGCATAGGCTTGTATATACAACTTCTGCAGGAGCACATCCAGTACCCATGTTACAATCCTGGCACGGCTCAGGACTATATGATCAGCACTTTCAGCACCTAGGTGAGCAGTTCAGAGCAACGACAGCATTACATGCCATTAGATGCTGCTATTTTTATTCATTGATGTAAGGGATAGTGTCGTATTAAGTACTTTTGTGTTTTGAACTATTAGACACAATACATTCTCTCCACCTCAAGGTCACAGAGCACCCTGAGTGCATCGGAAATGCATACCGTTCTCTCCATTTCGCTAACTTGTATGGGATACACCTGATAGCTAATCAGCAATTAGCTTTCATCAAATTAGTGTGGTCAGCCCAATAAGAGGGCTTCTATAACTAGATGCTACATAAAACACATTATTGCCCTTATTAAAAGAAAAAAAGGAAAAAAAATACTTTATAATTTGCATGGTGTTATTCCAATATATATAGTTTTAAAACTAATTTAGATGCTTTAGATTCTACTGTATGTTACGCTGACAAATTAGAGAAAGACAACTCTGAGAAAATGCAATCTGTGCAAAGATTAAAGCCAGGCATCTGTTTTATTGCTGTATCAGCTGGATATTTATTGTCTTATTTGTAAACGTCATACACAAAATACACATCTGGAGCAATTGTGAACAAAACATTTTCATACCTCAGCTATTATAACAGAGGGTCACAAATCAAGGATAATAACTAGAAACCATGTTCTCATAATAAAGCTGCTAGTAAGGAAAAGATGGTATTTTTATAAAAGGAAACTGATCAGGTATAAGGCCCCTTTCACACAGGTGGTCCGATTGGGTCCGCCTGTCAGTTTTTTAGATGGACCCAATCAGATGACCAATGCAAGTCTATGGGTAGCCATGTGTAAACGGACAGGCAGCTGTGTGTAAACAGACGAGTGTTACCCCTGGCTCCGACAAAACAGACAGAACAGTGTTCCGTTTCGATGGACTGGATCATGCCGGAGTGAGGGTAATCTCATGTAAATGGACACATGTCCATTTACAATATATTCCCCCATAGACACACATGGGGTCTGGCAGTTTCAGTTTTTTCCTCTATCACAAGATGGAGGTAAAAAAAAACAAAAAAAAAAAAACTGTACAGACATGGATGTCAGTGTTCTCAGCCGCTCCGTACCGCTCTGATCAGGAGAGGATCTCTGCACGGATACTCTCCTGATCAGCCAGTGTGAAAGGGGCCTAACGCTGACCTATATATTAATGCTATGCCAAACTAAATATTTATGAAAATATAAATCAAGTCAATCAAGCCAAAAGTGGCAGATCAGTGTAAGATCCACACTGCTAGACCTTCCTGACTTGTCATCCAACGTAGGTGAAGCAAAGGTGGCGACACTGGAAATAACATGCAGAGATGTCACCAGTACATTTTCCAAAGAACTATGAGAAATTGTCAGTCCAAAAAACAAATGATCAGTCTTGAGACGGAGCCTATCAAAACACAGCTGCTTGGAAATCATGACCAAATGCACCAAAAAAAACAAAAAAAAACCCCCCACCAAAGTAGCCGGAAGAAATGATTACCTTATTACTCTGCTTTAGTTTATTGAGCTCCATTTTATATTTATCAGCTTCTTCAAGGGCTCTATTCAAGCGAACCTCAACAGCACTCTGGTTACTGGCAGATTGCTTCTGTACTCTCTTAAAGTCTTCCAATGCCTATATATAAAAAATAAATAAAACAAATTGAAACATTCAAAATAGAAGTGAAAAAAGTATTTAGAGATTTATATAACAGTAACGGATCCTTTCACCATTTTTACTAATGACAGGTAATATGCAGGATAGCAGTTACAGTACATGCATTTATGACACACTGTGGTGACTTGCCTCCATCGAGATTGTTTTTCCCTATAACATAGCTATGGACTATACCAACATTTTTTTCTTTTTGGATAAAGTTGCTTACTGTCACAGTGACAACAGTTCCAGCAGACAGGAAATTAAAAGAAAATTTGCAACAGGAACACAAACAGCAATAAAAAAAGTCGACATGGGTTCTAGCATTTCCCTTCTCTAAAATATGTTATAATATATATATATATTCGTATATACTC